GCTGTGTATAATCTTACCTCAATAAAACTACAATTTTTAAGAACATTTTCTGCACCGTGGGCAAGGGTAGACAGAGGGGATGACGCCACGTCTATCCCCGTATAACATTCCTTGTTTTGGGAGTGACATGGCAGGTTCAGCTGGTCAATTTCGACAGTCGTCTGTATCGTCGCGATACATTCGGGTATGCTGTTGCCGTGTCTACTCTCGATGTGTGGACCTCTGCTGAAGATCGTCAGGTAGGAATTCAGTAACTCAAATTGGTAAAGCCACCACCGTCACCAGATCTGGCTGATCGCACTGACAATGTGAGTTAATGACACTAGAAACACACCAAACAGGTGCTGGACCCTGTCTTCGGGTACTTTCCATTAAGGCGTGCTTGTGACTTGGGCTGGAACAGTCAACAGTCAAACCGTCTGGATCTGCTCCTTACGAAGTCACTGGACAGCATTGATGAGGTGCAATGTCTACCTCCCCTAGGTCGAAGCCACGTCGTACTGCTGTGGAAGTACTCCATTTTTTCTCTGCCTGAACAGGCCGCCAGGGTTAGAAAGAACATTTGGCGCGGTGACGTTGCCTACATGGAAGCTGAACTAAACACCATAAACTGGGAATCAGCTTTTTCCGGTGACATAATCAAGGATTGGGGCTGGTTTAGTGAGTTACTGCACGTTCTTCTCAGAGACCACTGTCCTATTTCACGGGAGAAACTGAGCGACAGACCCCCGTGGCTGACACAATGTTTAAAAAAAGAAGTGAATAAAAAGCGGAGGTTATGGAGAAAATTCCTCTCGGGTAAGAGCTATGTGTCGATAAACGCATACAAAGCACAGATGAACCTAGTTAGGAGGTTAATCCTCGGGACGCGGCGTACTTTCGAGAAAGACCTACTGAATCGAGCCGCAGATAATCCGAAGTTATTCTATGGTTACATAAGAAGAAGCACACGAAACAGAGACCCAATCCCGTTATTGAAAACTAGTGACGACCTAGAACTCAGTGAAGACGGAGAAAAGGCAGAGCACCTTTCACAATTTTTTAAGTCCGTCTTTACGAAGGAAAGCGCACTTCTCCCTCCCGACTGCGACATAGTGGACGGGCCAACGATTGAGCACGTCTCTTTCGCCGAAGCTATTGTTCGCAAAGAACTGTTGACGCTGAATGAGTCTAAATCACCTGGGCCGGATTACATACCGCCCAAATTGTTGAAGGAGCTTGCTGGAGAACTATCTAAACCGCTGTCCATGCTCTTCCAAGCTTCGTTCGAAGCAGGCTATTTGCCCGCCGATTGGAAATCCGCACGGATCACGCCAATTTATAAAGGCGACAGCAAGGTCTTAGAAAACAACTACAGACTAATTAGCCTTACTTCAATTTGCTGCAAGATTATGGAATAAATAATTAAGCCAGAGATAATGCACTTCCTAGAAGAGCATAATCTGCTATGCGATGCCCAGCACGGATTTCGTAGAGGCAGATCATGTGTGACAAATCTACTTTATTGTTTAGATCGCTGGACCCGGGCAGTCGATGGCGGCAATGCATTGCACGCAGTCTACGTCGACTTTAAGGAAGCATTCGACAGTGTACCACATCAGCGTCTCCACTGCGTGGGTTCGAATCCCACCGAGGCGCCGAGTTTTTCACAGTTGGATCAGTATGAATTATTCAAAATCTGCCAAAATACCTATAAAGTACGTGAGCCTGGTAGTCATCTGGTGGATTCTAGGTGAATTACTTAGGAAATCCTGCGGAAGTCCTGTGGTTTAAATATCTTGGGTCAGGCTGCACGACAATTATTGTAGAAACCCCACTTAAGTTATATTTTTGAGTCGGAAACGAATTTCAAAATGTCGGTTAACATCTAATGATGTGGCCGATGGACTGATCTGCAGGATCGGTCAGCCATATGCAGCTCGCAAGTGACGGTGACACACAACATGAAGAAATTCGACTTCCACCCAGAAAGGTTTTATTTGTCGTCTGACGGAGTTTTGAAACAATAAGTTGGTGTGCTACATGGGCAAACCAACTTGTGGGTGCCTTGTTGAAATCTATGGGACCAGGCTACCACGATCCAGTACCGCACTATATTAGCGAAATGTCAAGGGTAAAATACAAAAAAGGCAAAAAAGAGTAGAGGGTTGGAGAGACAGAAAACACACACACACACACACATTAAGCTAAATAACATTTTCGAGGGCCAGAATAGATGTCAAAACGCCAAGGAATGCTGCCAGAAAGTGGCTCGAAAGGCCCCTGTTCACCGAGGAAATATGACTGCTTAACTTATTCTGACGAACGTCACCAAGTTTTACTCCCCACTTAATCCATCTCATCTATAATCTCTAGCAGAACCTAGGTGAGGATGGAGTCTTACTGGCAGTCGACCGTGACGCATTCATCATGCTGTCAGCCATATCTTGTAGCTATGGACTTCAGAGCCCAACAAAGCCGTCCGCGATGAAGCTATCGCTTTGTGATAATGGCGACGCACCGTAAGTGAAATTACGGAGGAGGGGTTACGGGTCGATTACATTTGGAAGCGTAGTTAACTGAGCCATTTCTCGTTTTCAGCCGGTTGTTAGACCACAGGCAAAAAGACAGCAATAAAAACAACGTAGTAAATTCAGGCTACCAAACTCAAAATACACGTTTATATCTCTCATTCGCCCTCATTCACAAGCATATTGGGGATTCCGTCGGAAATGGGGAATTCGCGACCGGTCTCTGGGCAGACCAGGGCACCTTCGATTATGTCCAGCTCCAGGAGGGCCTTGTGAGCCTGGCGGAGAAACTCCTCGTTGGTCTCGTATTCGCTTGGGATTTCGTTTGGAAGTTCACCCACATGGTTGGCCCCAATCTAGTTAGGACGACGTATAATAGGTACGGATTGTAATGTGCACAAGAATTTCTGAGCGCATAATGACGAAAATCTGTCCAACTTTCGCACGTTATTAAGGTGGACTTCAGTGAGACAATCAACTTGTGGAGTGGCTTGAGGACTACCACCGGGCCGTTTGAGTAGCTGTACAGCAAAAGTTGTAAAGGAAGGTGGGTTTGCCTTTTAATAGCTCCCTTGTATTCCAGAATATACCTATGACGAAGCTGCACAACAGGACAGTACTTAGAGCCTAATTAATGAGCCACACAGACGTGTCTATGCGAAACGAAGTACTAGCGAGCAATGGCATGACACGGCTATTTAAGGATTAGAATCGTAGTAGAAGTCAAATACCTGCCCAGCCTGCAAAATTCTAAGTTATCGTCGTAAACTAAACAGCATGAACAAAAAACAATAGACTTTTAAAAAAGTGAAAAACATCAAATTCTAACAGATAAAAGAGGCTTGAGTAGCCTCACCTGTTCCGCAGCACTCTTCAAAACGCTCCACTCAATCTTAGGAATAAATTTGGCAGTTTGTGTAGCCTCAAATTCGGCGGGCGTAATTTCCACCTTGGTTGCCTGAATTGGACGAGACAAATACTCGCCTGGAGGCGACAAGGACTACCTTTATACCGAGGGGATAGCCGACTTTGACAGACTTTAACACACGCGACGTCAGAATGTTGTGTGTAAAGAGCCGCATCTTCCGTGAACTGCGAAGTAAATGTGGATACATAAGACAGAATTAAAGGGTCAGCTTAGAGACTGAGCAAAACCTATTAGTAAAATAAACAGCAGATAATAGCAAGTATAAAGACATCAATGGCATCACCTATTCGGAAAACAGGAAAAAAGGGAACGAAGAGACAGCATCCAGCATGATAACCTTTGTGGTGCTCAACAGTGGCAGTGTAGTTGAGCAAATAGAAACTTCGTAACAGAGGGAAAAAGTAATCCAGTAAGACATGCAATATCAGCCAAAACCATTGGACAGGGTGGATACCAGTGCCAAGGTTCAAAAGCAAACCTTCGCGTATGTTAGTTTATGCTCTGAACTGAATGCACTACCTAAACGAAGTCAAGGGGATATAAGACAGGCTCAGGGATAATGGTCGAATCGTACTTCACAGAAATCCAGAAACAGACAGGTGCGGACACGTGAACGTGTACTCTCACCTACCTCCCGGATTATTTTTTATGGCTTCCGGAAGAACCGCATGTGATCGTTACGCGAGTTATGCACATTCTTGTATAATTTATGATGGCAAAATAAGCCCTACATGCACGAGTTTCAGCGATAATCCAAAGTTCAGCCAGTCTAAAAAGTTCGGGTGTATTATTATAACGGCCAAAATAATTGGTGCATCAACGAAGACCCGATTTTTAACGAAAAAATGTAAATACGTAGTGGAAAAATGTGATATTTGCAGATACACTCATACCAGCTCCTCATTACATTAAACAGATTGAATGCGGGAAGACGACCGATTTCTAACTTGGCCTGACATTTAATTGCTACCATGCGGAGCGTAAGTACCAAAAAAAAATCGAAAACTTGGATCGTTATGGATAAAAAAAATACGTATATAAGTGCGTCACTGGGTTATCGTTTATAAGTTCCAGTCAGTGACAGAAATGGTCTAAATTACTTCAGACGGATGACAACGCCGAGTCCTCCAATGCTGGATTGCTCATTAAAAGTTAAAATAGCGTGGTCCCGTTCATTGCCTTTTCCTGGCACGCGACGCATGGCTAGATGGCACTGACTGGACGATAAAATGTGAAATGACAGGACTGCAAGCACTGCTGCGGTTCGTTCGACACGTTTTGGCAGCTGTCAGCGACGATGGAATGTGTGCTAATAAAGCCAGCTCTACCAGGCTCACCAGGACGTATGATCGACATCCACTAACATTCATGTGCATTTTCGTTTGATTGTCTTAAACAGTGTTTTTATTTAAACACTCGTATTACAAGTATGTGAAGAATATCCACAGTTTAATATGAAGCCACTTTCTTGTAGCTTGCTTTGCTCAAAAGGTGCTTATACAACTGATTAGTTGACAAAGAATCTACAAGGGTAAATCGTCTAGATATCAAACTAAGAAAGCGGGGCTTTTAAAAAAGCATCAGGTAGTCCGACAGTCGAAGCCCAACAATAGTCCTTCCTGTGTGGTATGACTGAGTAAGAAATGGCGACTCGTTATCTGGAAGTTTAAAAAGATGACATATACAGAGGTTGGAAAGAATGTGGCGAGTCTAAAGGGTCGCTATCGGACACTTTCTTTATCACCTTGTTATGTGGCACAAAACGAGAACAAAACGGGAATAAAATCCTTTAGATAGCCAGAACGCGAACCTGCAGCAACACACTCGTGATTCTCGACCTACACTTTGCTCTTCCGCCTGAATTCCAGTTTAGTAAAAGCCAAAATTACTCGTGGTGTACACTTTGTATATGTCTTCAATCCTTATTGTCCAGATAAACTCATATTCAGTCAAGTTTGAATTACCGAAAACACATAAGGGCCAGCTTTTCTATTTGTGCGAACATGTCTTCTGATTTGCCTGTCTGATTGCGTTTAAGGTTCGCAAGTCGCATCGCTTGCCTGAGCCCCGACAGACAAACTAGGTTTTGCCCGAATTTCGTTTCCCCTGTCATATCTTTTGCGCGTCCATACGTCTGAGTGAATTCGCTTCCGAATCGGGACATTAAGGAACATCCTAGATATTTGTGTAGGACTCTTGATCCCCAGCATGGGCAGAACTGGGGTGTAGTGAACTTGTTCTAGTGGGCTGCACACTTACCGAGTACGTTACAATTCTTATTTGCATTTTGCTCTTTTCTGTCCTGACTAGCCCTTCGTATAATCAATGCAACATCCCTCCTTTTGGGCCTTAGGGTTTTTGACCAGGAGCTTGCGAGTTTTTGTTGACGTTCTTCACCACAGCTATCGCAAAATTATTTTTGATCTATTTGTGTGCCTATATTTACCTCGCTGTCAACACTTTTAATTACCATCTTATTCCTGTCACTCTTTCTGCAGTTTCCTAGTTTGCTTCTTTCACGAGTGACTCTCTCAGCTTTCACCTTCCTCCATTCACACTGAGCTACAGCAGCTAAACCGTCATGGGTTTCGATCAGGCCGTCGAATTCGAGGCTCTTCCGATTGGATTCAGAGTGGGATTGTTGTGACTGCACGTAATTGCGGATATCTGGTGCCTGTTTGTTTTATTTTCAAATGCTAACGGTTTATGAATTTGTTGTCAGTCGTTCTTCGATATGCAAACTGATTATACATCCTTCGTGTCCCTCTATGCACGCTTAACCGAGTGTCCAACATCTTACATTTGAGAAGAAGCGATTCTTAAAGTAATAAAGAAATGGAATAATATTGCTTTGTTGGTCCCGACGAGGTTCCAGGAAAATTGTTCTTTAAACTTGCCTGTGAGCTGGCTAAGCCATTATCCATTTTGTATCCGAAATCCTTCGGTAAGAGAATTGTTCCCATGGGTTGGAAAATAACCCGAATTACATTAATTCAGAGAAGTGATATTCAAGTATTTGCGATTAACTACAGACGCGTGAGACAGACATCAGCCTGTTTCAAAGGACAACAGAAACCCACAACCTCTTGTCAATGGACAGGACGGCTTTCGAAAAGGAAAATGGTGTTGCGAAATTGTCTTACATGACGCAATGAAAAACATATTTTGCTGGTGGCCTAAATTGATTTCAGTTAGACCTTTATTAGTATTACCGTCAGCGTCTCTTATACAAGTCTAGAGAATTTGGTATAAGAGGCAAACATACTGAATGGATCGAGTATTTCTTCATCGGTCGTTCACAAAATGTTTATGCAGATCAACAGGAATCAAGACAAAAGTCGTAGAAACTGAAGTCCTATTTGGTTTAGCGCTGAGACTGGCCGTTATTCTCTTGTTTGTTAAGGGTTGGGCATAAGAAGTGGGCTGTAAATATGGCATATTTGCGAATGATAAGAAAATATGCGAAATCATCTATAGTGATGTCGACGGAGCCAACATCCAATAAAACCCTTGTTGACTGGGAATATAGCCCCACATTGCTCCTATCGTTTATATGGAACAAGTGTAGATACTGAGTCTTGGAATTCGAAGCCAGATTCCTAAAACAGACACCCCAAATCTGAACAGAATGTCACTCCGGGAAGCCGAAACACAGATAGATACCGGTTTTGGACATTTGACACTCTAATGACCTTTATCAACTGTTGTACGACGGATAAGGTGGCAACTTCAGTGTTGCTTTTGAAGTTTTTAATGAATGCAGCTCTCCAAAGTCTTCGGTACCTTTGAAAGGCCGCACCTCGAATATGCGATCGAGACCTAAAGACCCTGGATGCAGCAGGATTTCTACCTCTCCGAATGGGCGCAGAGGCATGCCAAAACACTAGTAAGACGTCAAGGAGCTCTGCCATAAGAGACCCACCTATCTAACCAAAACCTCTATCATCCTAACTATAGGCAATTGGTACGAGCTTTTTATACCGTGAATGGGTTCGATTGCGCTCTCCTGTGTGGTCTTCTTCCAACTCACCATTATTATCAACGTACGGAACCATCCCTTCAAATTAAGTATGGCCCAAAGAAGATAACATGTGAGAAAGAACTTTTCCAAGCCGTATAGTGAAACCATGGAATAGCCTGCCTGAGGCGACTGTAGTGTTTCAGTCTGTGGAGATATTTATACATCACAGTGACGTACACATGCTGCAGCAACAAACGGACTAGGTGACTAGTGACTTTGACAACATAGACTTATGCGAAACTAAGTCTGCTGCCGCTTGACACCGTAGTTTCATAAAATTATTGTCGATTTTTCAAATTTTTATGCAACAAATGGAATGTAAAAAGGAGTAGGCCAGTTCTCCACAGAAACGCCGAACCGAAATGAATTCAGACCATTAGTCCTTACATTCGAGGTTCTAAGCACTGACACTTAAGCTGTCTCTTTTCCCGGCTACGATAGCACCTAATATGTGACTGACTTTGTCCACTTTTTTGCTAAAATTTCAAAACACCTTTTCTCGCCGAAACGCATCACAACCTGTCGCCCAACAAATGCTATCAAAAACCAACTGGGCGTAGATGTACATTGGCTTCTTTGCCCAAACGAAGCTATAAATTGGAGCTAGATTGGACTGTTCACTCTTTATTCGTTGGTTTCATCGATCGGATTTATTGCCGAAAATCGCAAACGACTAAGATTTCTTATGAATACACACATGATTATGTCTTGAGACAGCCAATAGCTAACGTGGCACTTTTTGCGGGGATTCGTTTTACCTCCTTTGGTAGGATTCGAGTCTTTTACACCATATTCGCCCCGAACACCTATCTTCCAATCTGTATCCACGTGAGGCGTTAACCAGGACTTAGTGGTAAATCGCTACCTGCACTTATTGTTTTCCGGCCTTAAACTAATTCCTTCCTCTATCTTCATATCATGAAATAGGTATTACTCAATGGACGCACTCGTTCTGAATTGATCAACTTCATTTTTAAGAAATTTTAGAGCATTAGCCTAAACGGTACCACAGATCCACAACCCAGTTGAGAGCGAAAATATTAATGGTCCGTTTGTTTATATTGGCCTTGGTGTTTGATGTACGTGTTACAAACACTGTAATTGGCCGTGCTGGACTGACTTGTTAGGTGTAT